AGTCTTTATAGTGCCTTGAAAAAGAAGGTTAGGCAACAAGCATAATCTACATTTCTTGCAAACTTATTGCAATAAAATTGCAACTTTTTAAGCGCCTTCAAATGAACGTATAGGCAACAAGCAAAAATTGCAATCAACTCACAATCCATTGCAATGAAATTGCAATCCATGCTACTTGGGAGGCCCTCTTTTGAGAACCATTTTCAATTCAGTAAATGATTGCTGTTTTGTTACTTAGCCTCTTACCACAAAATTTGCACTTGTTTGTGAGTTGATCATTCAATTAAGATAGTAAGCCTAAGCATGCAAAAAATCACCAACAAATGGGCTTGTTGCAAACTTTTGCTAGAGCAAAACTAAGAGTTGTTTCCTATAGATAATGCTTCAAAAATCACGATGAGCGCATTGGCAAAGTCTAAAATGCACTCATAACTTCACAATCTGCGTAAGAAATTTGCGGTTTTTTGAGCTTCCCGCTTCAAAAACGACACTACGGCACAGGTGAACATTTTGTTAGAGGAGTCGTTCCATCCGTCGGCAATACTCATCATGACCGACGCCAATCCGCCAAAACACGTGTGATGGGACGAGATAACACATGAGCAGGACTAGAGCAGATGACAATCAGCGTGTTTACGTTCATATTTTCCTCGCCCGCCTTGATTGACCTTGAACTCTCCTCGAATTACGCGCGGAACTGAGCAAGCGTCGGCCATGATGAATATTGCCGACGATGGAGCGACTCCTGTAACAAAATGTTCACCTGTGCCGTAGTATCGTTTTTGAAGCGGGGAGCTCAAAAAAACGCAAATTTCTTACACAGATTGTGAAGTTATGAGTGCATTTCAGACTTTGCCGATGCGCTCATCGTGCCTTTTGAGGCATTATCTGTAGAAAACAACTCTTCTTTTTGCTCTAGCAAAAGTTTGCAACAGGCCCATTCAATCTGTTTGCTTAATCTTAAAAATAAATTGAAACGCAGTTTCTGGTTACCAACAAGATTTTGTCCTAAAATGATTTGTAGACCCTCCACGCTCAGAAACCTTCGGGAGCCAATTGCTTTCACATTTTCCCCCCCTTTTTGACCGCTTTACTGCAAAAGGGCGGCATGCACCAGTTTTTATCAAATGCCTTTTAAACTATGATAGGTATTGAAGAACATCCCAGTGAAAAAATGCTCTCAAAAGAGTGACTCATAAGGGAGAGGGGGAGGGAGGTGTTATAATCAATTCTTCTATCTCTCTTCATACCCGGAAGGTCAACAAGAAGAAAATTGTGAGTGACACTTGAAGCCAAGGCTTCTCTAGACGCTCTTGACTAGTAGAATCAAATGCAAGTTAAATTTTAAGTATGTGGTAAGAGAAAGAGATCTTCTTCCCATACTTAATCTTGCTCCAGAATTGTGGTAAAATCTATCTTTTTTAGGGTGTTTTTGGTTTATCTTGATACGACTGTCAACCTTGGAGGGAAACCTCATGACAGGTTACATATCGGAGACTGTAATTTTACCTCAAACTTTATTGAGTGACCCATCGAAGTCCTGAAAATGAGGTAGAATGAGATGAAGGTNGGGGGGGGGGGGTTCAACATTTTGAAAAATCTACAAGGAAATGATCGGCAATTTTTATGCTAAGTTTTGGCACCGTAACAATAAAACAATACAATCTCTGGCGTTGAAATGCCGAGTCCTTCAGTGTTGGTGTCGTAGTATGCACACCTGATAATCGCTAACCAGCATGGAACCGGTAGTGGCGCTGACAATGGGGCTGATTTCTTTACCCACACCCAACTCTCCTCACAGGAGGTTCTGGCTAGTATGGGAAAATCCGTACGAATAATATTACTGACCCGTATCTCTCAAAAAAACTGCATCTGCATCTATATAGCTGCTGTACCGGCTTACTCTGCCCTCCCCCCTTCCTTCGAAAAAATTGGCCGAAGGGGTTTTCTTCTTCTTTGTAGCTTGGTACACACTTCGTTACTGCAGTGAGGAGTTGATCGAAAGTATTCCGATTTGTCCAGGACGCCCACAAGAGGGAAAAGTTGTTTATTCCTATAGTAATGCGTTGGGGATTTTAGGTTGTTTACGTGCAGCGTGCTGAACAGGGTGAATCGTGTCGCGTGACGTCACAGCCGCCACCGTGTGTCCTGTTTCGCGTGTCTCGATCGCGTTCGATCTTCCAACTGTGTGTCTCCCTCGCGAACTTTTCCATCCCTTTGTTTCTTACACGTGCGTAGTATTAGCTTGCCTGCACCTAAGTATCTCCTCGCAACTGTCCTCTATTTTTAACTGTATGTTTATGTTCCATCCTATAGGTCATTCGCCTATCTGATCGTATGTTTCTTCGACTTCCTCTCTTTTTCCTTTCTCCTTTATCTTCTATAAATTTTTGTGAACCTCGGTGTCGGGGGGGTATTTTTCGACAGGAAACTCGAATTTTCAGTCAGATTTTCAAAATTCCAAAAATCAAAGATGGCGGCCGTGGTCTAAAATGCTATCTCGACTCCTGTTCCGTCGATTTTTTCGGAAACTCGGTAGCAGAGGGTATTTTTTGACGAGAAACTCGAATTCTTGGTCCCATTTTCAAAATTCCAAAATCCAAGATGGCGGCTGTGGCCGAAGTGGCGAAGATGTTGTCTTTTCATTATTTTAATTTTGAAAGTTAATAGCTATGAGGGGCGGCTTGCGGAGCGAGTTGCAAGTTCATTGCGAAGCAAGGAACCGAGGGTCCAGGGGCACTCTCTAGCTGGGCGTGACAGCACACATAACGAGCTTATCATCATGGCTATTTATACAAAATGACGGTCATAACAAATTGTTATATATATGAATTTACCTTACAAGCTTCATTATTTTTGCGTCTTTTGCAAACGTTTCGGCGCCTCATGGAGGCATTCTAAGTGCGGCCTACCAGTCCATTTTCTAAAAGTGGCAACACCTTCAAAGGAACGTTATCATCCATCGTCCATCGTGACAAAGCGAAATCCGTTGGTCTGTTTACTCTCCTTACGCCTGGGATCAGTTATCGGCATCCGCGTTCGTCGCGTCGTGCGTTAGCGAGCTCGCTGTTTTTCCCGTTTCTAATGTGCGCGGAAGATTTTATTTTAAAGTAATGTAGTTTTAGGAGTTTTAACGTTTTTAAGTACTCTTTGCGTGGACAATTGTATGCCGTTTTAACGTCGGGGCTGTATCAATTCTTTAGTATGTGAGTATCAAGAAGCAGTACTGAAGATGACCTCCATGAAGCGCCAAAACGTTTGCAGAAGATGCAAAAATAATGACTGGAAGCTTGTAAGGTAAATTCATACACATCGCAGCAGTCAGATAGTATTATTCATATGTGTGAGTGTATGTGTGTGTACGCGAGGGTGCGTGCGTGTGTGTGTTGGTGTGTGGGTGTGTGTGTGTGGGGGGGTGAGGGTGAGGGCGTGAGTGTGTCAAAGAACAGGGGCTGGGCCAGGTAGTAATCATGGGAAAGAAGCCTCTTAGTTATTAGAAGACAAAAGAAATAATGGTTTTAGCAAAAGGTATAAGTTCAAGGTTTTCAATCAGCATGTTAGAAAACCAATGCTCATTAGGGAATAAACCAGTATTGAAATCAGTTTGGAGAACAGTTATTATGACTTTCAGTACGCACCTTGCTTACGAAGGTATATTTTTAATCAAAGTACTTGTATCAATTTTTCAGGAAGAATTGAGAGTTCTCAGCAAGGAATTGAATGGAACTCTAGCCCTTGCTATTCAGCAGCTACACCAGCGCTTTGTAACAGAGCGTACATTGACAAGAGAGTGGTCAGCGGCAACTCGGACAATATCATGCCCAGCGGCTTCCAGAGCCCCAGCAAAATGCAAAACCCTAGTTGAGCGTTTACGTGACTCCTGGCAGCATCTGCTTAGAGATCGTGCTACACGCAGTTTAACATTCAATGATGAACAATTCCATCTCCTAGAAAAAATTAAGGTAAGAAAATCTTGAGTCAATTTTGATATGCTTTTCACCAAAACACAGTTCTACCACTTGGAAGGCTCCAATACTGTGGAAGTACCTACATCACAATAATTGAGGAGCTTTCCGGAAAAAGGGGCACCTAACAAAAAATCGCGCAGTGAGGAAAACATATTTGAAGTTTTCATTTTTACTTACTGGCCACTGATGGTGACTTACACCAAATCTTGGACGCTCAGATCTAAGTTCGTACATCCTAGAATAGAATGAATAACAATCATTGGTAAAACTTACATTTCTCTTAGTGCTGATTTAGGAATTTTCCAAAAATGTTCTGTTTTGTGCCCTTTTTCCAGAAATGGACCAATGGTTATAGATTTTGGCTTTTGAAGCTGGACTTTTGAGAGTTGAACGAGTTTCTAAACCAAAAAAAGTTTATTAATCTCCTCTGTATGGTAAAAATTTTTTAAAAAATCTTTGGTGTCCAAAGTATTCCGTTTCCGCCAGTTAGGACCGCAGGCCCTCTCCACAACATTGCAGCGGTCGCACTTAGAGGTAGATAGATGAGATACTTTGTGAAGCAAAGAGTTGTAGCCAACTGTACGCACAGCTTGGTCTGTTGGCTCCAAAAATTGATTGATCAAGCTCGGCACATGTACTCGGGGCGTGTATACATTTTGACACGAATAATCCATTCCTGCAATTTCCAGAAAAATAGCAGATATGATTTGGATTACATTTTGCAATAAGAAACCACTATTTCCAGCCTATTTTAGAAACAACATACATGCTATTGGTTTCTCTATGCAGATAGGTGCTTTTATGGGAGAGCCAGAGATAGTGGTTCCTCATTGCAAAATGTCCTTTTCCGGAAAGCTCCTTTAATGGTTACCTAATTGGGCCAGCAGGGTGCCTCACAGAAGGGAGCAAAGGGCTTATGGAAATTCGGTCCAGATAAAATTAAAATTTCCTGAAGAAACTTACTGAGGGTGTCTACTGTCAGGAAAAACCGGAAAATGTCTGGTTCGATGTCATCCAAAAAATAAGGAAAATATGAAAAAAATCGGTTATGGATCACAAAATTCCACGTACATCAAGCATTTTTTAACCACATGCAGTTTGACACTTACAAAAGTAAAACAGTTGATAAAATTCATGGGATATATTTATTTGATTCTTGAAATCATACAAGTGTAAATTTGTTCTGGCAAAAAATTGGGATATTGAATTTAAAATACCTAGAAGAAAACAGGAAATTATCCAGAAAGTTTACAGTAAAATTTTAGATCAAACCCTTCATCTCTTCTTGAAAAGTCTGAAGAGGGACAAGAGCTGCAATTCGGATTAGCCTGTGTCACACTACCAAAATACTCCATCAAAATATCAAGGTCAGGCGTTGTGATTGGCTTATTCGATGACTTGGACCAATTACAGCACTTGACCATGACATATTGACAGAGTATTTTGATAGTGTGACATGGGCTATTATTGAGAAATGGGGAGCGGAAGTCTAAAAAAAATTAAGATTTTTGGGAAAACATCTACTAGTGGGGCTGTTCAGTGGCGACTTTTCTTGGACTGAGGATGGACTCTTCAGAATTGATTTAAATTGCAGATAGAGCCGATTCAATCCAAAGATCAGGTTTCTGAAACCTGGATCTAAGAATCTTGCTTTTTCCTATCAATCGAAAATTTCAAATTTAGCTGATCAAGTATGCCCAAATTATCATGTGACAATCCTATCCGATCCCTGATGTCAAAAAAGGAAAAAAAAAAGACAAACCTTAGTATTTTCATTTATGTTTTTCCTGTGAATCTTATTTTTCCTCCCAACTAATTATGAGCCAAATTAGTGGATTACGTAAAACACTTAAAATTCGGGAAAGGCATTGATTCTCTTGTTTTGATCCGGAGGAAAAAGTATCATCCTCTTCTTCCACAAACGACCAGGGCCTAGCCCTGCTTGTCAGGCCATCCAGTATTGAGCATAATAAATTTTTTAAGTATTAAAAATCTAAAAATCACCAAAAATAAAGGACTCGTCAAATCAATAAAAACAGCAATAAATCTTGAATCATCCTCAGGAGAAGAGAGCCAGCTTTATGCCCATCTTTTAGGCGGTTGTCCAGGTATTCTTATCCCTAGGGGTTGTCCGATCATACAAATTTTCGCTAGTCTCTCTACATCATTCGGTCAACGTGCTCTGACCACATATTCCTCCTCACTTTGGTCCACTTGGCTAGATCTTGCACCCCAAGAGCATCCCTGATGGACTCGCTGGTCTGCTGATCCCAAAGTGTAAAACCAGCTATCTTTCTTAGAACTTTCATCTCAACTGTGCGAAATTGTTGGTTGGTGGAAGAAGTATTAATCCTGGCAAAAGATGAGAGTCCCAGAATCGATTCAATCTCATTGATCTTTTGGTCTGGAAGAATGGATCTTTTGTCAGATTCATCCTAAGATCGCCCCCCACTATGCACAGTGCTGCAAGCATGTGGATGATGCGGACAAAAATCGCCACACCGATGAAAAAAAGGGTTATAGTTCATTGAGAAACCGATTTCAGAGCAATTTTTGCCGGAAAATCCGACTCATAAAACCAAAATTCTCCAGGACTGCAACTTAGGCGCCCAAAAAAAAATGGCTGCCCAAAAAACCTCAAAATGACCCTTTCAAAAATTAAGAACTTGAATTTTACGGATATCGGTTTTGGAGATATCAATTCCTAAGTAATTTTTCTCGTAAAATCCAATTCTGCGGTCTAGAATGCTCTAGGGCTGAAATTTGGGGCTTCAAAAACCAGCTGCCCAAAAAATCTCAAAATGATTTTCTCAGGAATGAAAAATATGAATTTTACTGACATAAACCTCCGAGGTATCGATTCTTATGTAATTTTTGCTGCGAAATCCGATTCTAAAGTTAAAAATTCTCTGGGACTGAAATTTAGGCATCGAAAGTGACCTCCTAAACAACGAGAAATATGAATTTGATGGATCCAGGCTTTCAGAATCTAATCTCTTGTACAATTTTTCGGTAGAATCCGATTCTGAAGTTCAAAATTCTCTAGAGCTGAAATTATGACTGTAAAAGCAAAATGACAGCCAAAAAAAAACTTCCTCAAGAATAAAAAATTTGAATTCGACGGATAAGATATAATAAGCTACAAGATTTCAATTTGTTCCTTTAATGAAGAAAATTGAAGTTTGTTGGGAAATTACGAAATATTTATTTTGCATTTGTCCGAGGATTGCACCAAAGAAATCTTAATCATAGAAGGAGCAAAGTTACAGTTAGTTCCTCTACAAATTTTTAAATAGACACGTGCCTGTTATACACTAAAAGGAATCAAGAGCACACTAATTTTTGGATTTGCATGAAGAACACTGCTAACTGACGATCACAACTCATGTTTCCTAAAATAGTTTTTTTCGGTTGAATAAATGCAGCCCATAATACCGGCCCGAAGTGTATTCCCCTCAATTCGTTTACTTTGATAGCTGTCGAATAAAATTTGGGAAATCCCATATTCCCATACCGTGTTGCCACGTTCTAAAATTGATGCATTTTACGCTAAAAATCCAACATTTAAATTTAAATATTGAAAAAAGTAGCAACGACATACGAAAATCCTTTGGTACTATCAAAGTAGGATTCCCAAGGAATTAGAAAATGTTAATATCTCAAAATGTTTTGCGTATTTCTTGAGAAAATTCCACTGTAAGTTAGCAACCTCGAATCAGCCCTATGCTACCAATGTAAAACCTTCGTATGCACCTGCTACTCAAATCTAAAGTTCCTATGAAAAAGAAAGTAGCAGCAACACAGCAAAATCCCTAGGTACAATCAAAGTAGGATACCTAAGAAATAAGAAAATTTGAATACCTCAGAATATTTTGTGTATTTCTCGAAAAAAATCCAGTTGAAGTTGGCAACCTCGAATCAGCCTTACGTTAACAATGTAAAAGCATAACGTGATCGACCCAACTTAAACATCTTATAACAATGAAAGTATCAGCAACATGGAAAACTACTGTGACACAGTCAAAAAGTGATACCTGAAGACTGAGAAACTGTTAATATCTCAGAAGGGATTACGTATTTCTGGAGAAAAGTCTTTTTAAGTGCAAACTTTTCTCTTTATTTATTTTTAATGGGGAAGTTCATTGCCGGCATTTTTCCTTCAACTTTTCACGCTTATCCCTTGTGATTTGCAAATAAAATGCTCAAATGACTTATCATTCTTCGCCAGAAAAAGGTTCCTTCTTATGAGTACCAAGTTAATTTGTGCATAAAGAAAAAAAAATTCCATTTTTTTGTGCCCGCAGGATGCCACACTGTGCTATGCCCTTCTAGGAGAAAAAGTTCCTTGATATCTGGATGAAAACATAAAACTTTCAAATTGTAATTTTCACCTATCCTACAGTGAATTTGCTCAGTAAGCCTAACTTATCAAGGCTCTAAGGATAAGGGACAGGGAGGCCAAAATATTGAAGAACTTTTTCTCATTGCAAATCATCCTGTTTATATAGTGTGAAAGCCGAGCCAACCTCATCATGTCAACAATACATAATATTCTTTCTTCTTATATTCTTTTCCAAAAGAAAAACGAGTCATGCTTTCGCTGTTTTTAATTTTGCACAAGAACTCAGCTTTTTCTTCTAAAGTAGATGCTCCTGATCCTAGTGCTGGCTGATAAGAAAATGATAGACATAAAAGATAAAGGGAAATGGTATTTTTAGCACTAAGGAAACTTCTGTGGATGCAAACGGACCCAAAGGTATCAATTAAATTAGTTGATGAAAGTTGATGTTTTGTATTTACTTATTGAATTTTTGCCTGAAGGAGCAGCCAGAGAATGGTTCAAGTCTTGGTAGGTACTTATTCTACTGTTTACGATTTTATAGCTTGCCCTGTATCCTATTTATTTTATAGAATCTTGTTTGCTTTATAATAGGTGGCAGAGACGGGGAAAAGAATTAAAGTACTACTTGACTCAGAGTGTCAGCCTGCCGTTACGCAACTCGCAGAGTGTCTTGCAGACTGGTACAAAATGGCCCAAACAGCATTCCTCCAAGCACGCATCCTTGACAAGGATGTTGCTGCCTATGAAAAGAATTTGCTCAATTTTATTAGTGCTGTCAGCGAAAATGATTCCAAGTACCATGAAGAAATTGCTGGTGTTGCCAAGGTAAAAATCACTTCTAGCAACAACAACCATGTAGGAGGAATCAAGCAAGACTTGAGGTCAATAAGAGCTAATCTCAGAGAGCTTTCTTCAACAGGTGGAAGTATTAGTAATACGCTAGATGAGAACACAAGCCTCATTGTGCAGTGCCATGCTGTTTTAAATGAAGAAGATGGAATTGCTGCCGAATCATGATCAATTGTTTCCAAGATTTTGAAGTCCTTTCACATGAGAGGTAACTGGTGGACTCAAAATATTCTCATTTTTTTGTCTTTTAAAGTTTATCGGAAAGTGGAATCTTTCAGTTTTACGCACAGGATAAATCCCTCTGATTTTTGCTTGATCCTAGTTATATATTTAAAAAAAAAACAAATCTCATTTAATTGGAAACAGATTCTTCAGGAAGTTATAACGTTCAGTCAGGGTTCCTAATTTTCTTTTTATTAAGTTCTTGAGTCGTCTCAATGGGTGCAACAAACGTAGTGAAATTGTGATGCAATGTCTGCAGCTTCAGGTCTGCAATTTTTTTAAAAAAAGAAGGAAAAAAAAACATATTGGGCGACTCCATTGTAGTTTCAACCGTAGGTCCAAAAATTACCATGGTTTTCCTTCATTACCTACCAGTTTTCGAAAAAATTGAAATTTTTCCAAAAACCCGATTTCTCTAGGGAAAATTCAATCTTCCGAAAAACTTTTGCAATACCAAAAAATCAAGGTCATTTTCAGTTTCAGCAGCCACAAACAACATGATTTGCATGCTTAATAAATCTTACCCCCTGTTCCTGACAAAAAGGTTTCTCCATACCAATAGTTTAATCAGCCCACTGTAAAACAAATCTAATTATTTTGCTCCTGAAAAGATGGGATATTTTTTTTTCTGAAGTGTCTGATGAGGCTACTTATTTTGATTTTGCTACCGAAGCTGCAAATGACCTCAATTTTTTTTCGTCACCTATCTCGTCTCTGGATGATTAAATTCTCTCTTTAAACAAGTTTTTTGGCAGTTGGAATAGGCATTTGTCAGAAATATTAATTCTCATGAAAATCGATAGATGGAGGTCATTTTCGGTTTCAGTGAGAAAAGCAATAAGAATTCCCATCAGACGCGAGAGTGTAAAAAAATTCTTGTCATTGTAGAAGCTAAGCAGTTTAAAACAGATCAATTTTATGCGGTGGCCTGGAGGCCGATTTTGAGAAAAACCTCTTATCAGGACCATTGATGGAATTTGTTATGCTTGTAATTTTTAATTTCTTTTGTACTTCTTCTTGCTGAATTCAAGAGTGACCATGATTTTGATCTATCATGTTCCAGTTTTCCAGAAAATTAGTGAAAATGCTGTGTTTTTTTCTTTCTATCTTAAAAATAAATAAATATATAAAATCTTGACTTCCAGGGCTGAAAATTGGCGAGAAATGGATAAAAAGTAAGTTCCCTTCTGCTTTCAGTGCTGAGAAATACCCAGAAATTACCCCAAAATAATGCCCTGCATTTTTTAAACTCATACCTGTGTAGTCAAAATTAAGTACTTTGTAACAGGATAATTTTTCGTCTCTGTCTAGTCTTACTTGCAACTTTTGACCTGCATACAAGCTGATCATTTACTTCCCTCTCTGTATGTACAGGGTGATCCAGACCACCCGTCCACTATCTTTTTCTCGAAAACGGCGGAACAGGGTGATCCAGACCACCCGTCCACTATCTTTTTCTCAAAAACGGCGGAGAATTGAGCTTTGGGACAAAAACTTTCATGGGGTGAATCGACCCCAAAGAATCGAATGAGAATATTTTCATCCCCCCAGAATGGCCCCTTGGGGGAGTTTTGGGGGGGAGCCCCCCCGTTTCTCGCAATTTTCAAATAGGAAGGGTATGTTTTGACTTTGGATTCGGAATCTACGGTAAAAAATAAGAACATTTTGTTCTTTGCACTTTTTCCCTAAACCCCCATTTTTTGGAGTTATGGGGCATTTTTGGGGCAATTTTCGATTCGACGCTGTAAGCGGCCAAATAATCCAAATTTCAAAATCTAAAAATCTCCTGAGAGGAGAGGTCGATACCTTTTTATTGATGTGCCACACGACCCCTGTTGTTCCAAAATTTTGGGGGCCACGACCCCCCAAAAATTTTGGGGCTTTGGAGGGCCGTAAGTCGAAAAGGTTAAAAGGCAAGGGTATGTTTTGACTTCAGATTTGGATTCTACGCGAAAAGTTACGTAGGATTGATATGGCGCATGGTCTATTTGCTCCAAATTACTGAAGAACCCCATTTCCCCACAAGAAGCCGTGTATTTTTGGAGAAAATAAGGGGTAAAAAAAAATTGAGCAAACAGGCCATGCACCATATCAATTCTACGTAACTTTTCGCTTAGAATCCAAATCTGAAGTCAAAACATACCCTTGCCTTTTAACCTTTTCGACTTACGGCCCTCCAAAGCCCCAAAATTTTTGGGGGGTCGTGGCCCCCAAAATTTTGGAACAACAGGGGTCATGTGGCACATCAATAAAAAGGTATCGACCTCTCCTCTCAGGAGATTTTTAGATTTTGAAATTTGGATTATTTGGCCGGTTATAGCGTCGAATCGAAAATTGCCCCAAAAATGCCCCATAACTCCAAAAAATGGGGGTTTAGGGAAAAAGTGCAAAGAACAAAATGTTCTTATTTTTTACCGTAGATTCCGAATCCAAAGTCAAAACATACCCTTCCTATTTGAAAATTGCGAGAAACGGGGGGGCTCCCCCCCAAAACTCCCCCAAGGGGCCATTCTGGGGGGATGAAAATATTCTCATTCGATTCTTTGGGGTCGATTCACCCCATGAAAGTTTTTGTCCCAAAGCTCAATTCTCCGCCGTTTTCGGGAAAAAGATAGTGGACGGGTGGTCTGGATCACCCTGTATATTAGCCTGTGTCACACTATCAAAATACTCCATCAAAATGTCAAGGTCAAGTGCTGTGATTGGTCCAAGTCATCGAATAAGCTAATCATAAAACCTGGCCTTGACATTTTGATGGAGTATTTTGATAGTGTGACACAGGCTATTGACTGGAAATAATGAAAGGGTGCATGGTGGCAAGAGTCAGCAGCAGGGACCATTGATAAAAGCCGAATTAGAAATTTTAGCCCCTCCTTATCTCTTGATCACAAACTTACTGTGCGTCAGAACCTAATTTTGTTTGGACCATCCATCAGTATGTATCGCTTTTGTTTATTGATTGGAGCATGGACAGTCCAAAAATTAAAGGGTTACAGGATATATTCCCTCTTTAAAATCCCAACGCAAACTCGTTGAAAGTGTGGAATTTTTTCTAAATTGCTTACAAGATTATTTCTTGTATGAGAGACAACAAATAATTCTTTAAGTCATTGCAGTTATCTTGAGGTTGAAAATGGAAAACCCTTAACGACTTTTGAATAGTTTTTTTAAAGTTATTATTATTATTATTAAGTTCTCGGATCTCAATTCACAGCTCGAGGCCAGTAGATATTTAGTCCTCCCCTGGCAATTCAATGCAAAGGAGAGTCCTTAAATTTAAAATTGAAGTAAAAATTTAAAATTCGGATTAAAACTTTAAAATTGGAGTGAAAAATTAAAAATTTGGATTAAAACTTTAACATTGGAGTAAAAAACTTAAAATTGGGGCTAAAACTTTAAAATTGGAGTAGAAATTTAAAGTTGAAGTTTAAAATGCAGGTTAATTTTTCGGTTGGAGGTAACTATCCATCACCCAGAACTCGACTTACAATCCTGCAGCTCCGTAGCAAAGCTGCTTTCTGTAATTTGTCCAATTTCCAGAGGCACTTGATATCGTCTGCCAAAGGCATGAACTTGCTCATCTTCTCAGCGTAAGCGCTCTGGATATCAACTGCCAACGGCACAGCAACGTCGATTATAAAGGCAATTTTGGTATCCTTCAACGTGAGCACTATGTCTGGGATGTTATTAGGAATGGTTCTATGGGTGCGAATCTTCTTGTTCCAGTGGAGGCGGCATATATCATTTTCTTTCACCTTTGGGCTTCCAACTTTCGTAGACTCTAGCTAAAATTGCGAGTTTTTCGTGGCTTTACCTGAGATTTCGACCTGGGACCAAAGGCGACGGGTGATGAGCTTCGAATATGGTGTCAAGGAAACGTAGACTTGTAACATACTTGAATATGATAAACCGTCACCTTTGGTCCCAACTTCAAAATCGAACTTATCCAACTTTTTAGCCCGAAATAGCTGAAAATCCTTGTTTTTCGGGGTTCTATCTCAGATTTCGACCTGGGCTCAAAGGCGACGAGTGATGAGCTTCGAATATAATGTCAAGGACACATAGACACGTAACATATTTGAAGATAATCAACCGTCGCCTTTGGGCCCAACATCAAAATCGAACTTTTCCAATTTTTTAGCCTGAAATAGCGGAAAATTCCCGTTTGTCCAATGTTCTATTCAGGTTCTGGATGTTAAGTTGGTGGGAAAGGACGACGACAAGAGAGGACACGATTCAGGTGGTCGCCATGACAGAAGTATATTGAGGGGAGCCGTTTCCACAGAGCCTGGGCGGCTAGGCACACATGGTTGCCATATCGGCATGTTCCTTTTTTTGTTTGTTTGTTTTATTTTTTTGAAAAAACAAATTGCTTGCATTAAAACTAGTTAATTAGATATGACGTATGTAACTACTCATCAATAGAACACAACATAATTGACAGTATTTAACATCATAACACTTACATTGATACTAATAATGATATGTACAGCTGATAACAAACATGATTAATTAATTATTTGAATGAGATAATTCCAAATATAAAATGGAGGATGCTAAATTTGTTAATGATTTAAACAGTATTTAAAATTGATTTAACATAAAACATGACGCAGCATCTAAAATTGATTTACACAGAACATGACATCACGATGAATGTTAATTTGTTAATCAGAGGAATATCTGTCTGGTGTCATTGAGAGTCTTTTACCTCTGTCTATTGTTCTCTGTTTAGATGTTACAGGTGTAGCTGGTGTTTTCTTTTGCATAGTGGGGGGAGCCTGCGGGTGAAAAATTCAGGATCAGATATATTGTCACTGACTGTTGTAGTTTCTGGGCATTGAATTTTAACAGAGAGTTTTAGAGGCATGTCAATTGGAAATTCAGCTGATTCAATATTTTAATCTGTATTCTGTTTTTCTACATCATAATAAGGCTGTGACTAGGCTACCCGGCTCTGGGCCTAGCACATGAAACAGAATGATGTTCTGGAAGAAAAAACTACCAAATAAATCGTATGAACGATCAAAAGCACGGCAGGAAACACACACTCACTACTGAAAAGGTTTTAAATAGGGTTGGGAGACACGTCCCCCACCCTTTCAAAGGCAATACTCACATCGCGAAAAAGTCCAGCTTTTCTTACCTCAGTCAAACTACAACTCACTCTCCACGCCAAAGAACACCCTCCCCCCAGCGGCTCAGGGCTGCCATCTCTGGTCAATCCATCATCATTCGGGAACTGCAACCAATCAGAGATGCGCCGTTCAGAACCACTGGAGAAGTGGCGCCCTCTGGCGAGAACGCCTCTACTAGAAAGCCAGAGGGAAAGTGTTATTTTCTCTCTGATGTATTACCGTGCTACAAGGCTTAAGGTGTGAACTAGATTTTTGGTGTTCAAAGTTAAAAGATACTTATGTAGGGAACTCTCTGAAGTGTAGACGAGTCCGTCTATACTGATTACCTGATTCTGTTTGCACAATGTATGAGTTTGGTTTTTGCATTTACTTACAATTTTAGCAGGTTGCCATACATCTTTAGAAGTTTTCTTAAAATCTATCTTCTCATTTACTTTGAGTTCTTTAAGGGCCTTGTCCTTAGGATAACAATCTACCATAGTTTGCTTTCTTTTTTCGAATGTCTCGGTATATTTGTCGACATTTACTAGATTTGGTTGTAGGTGTTCAAAAGTGCAGGGTAATTTTGTGCGAAGATTACGTGACATTAGTAGTTGACTGCGTGCTGCGCCATCCTCTTTGGGGGTGTTTCTAAAATTTAAGAGAGCAAGGTGAAAATCTTCTTGAGAATTATAACGCTTTTTGATTAAATTTATAATAGATTGGATGGTTCTTTCTACGATACCATTGGATCTTGGATGGCAAGGGTGGATGATGTTTCATGATTGATGTCCCATGAAGTGGTAAATTTTTGAAATTTTTCTGAGTTGAATGGTGGACTGTTGTCACTAATTAGGGTTGATGGAATACTATGTCTAGCAAAAGTTGATTTTAATGCTCCAAATTGATGCATCAGCTGCTCTTGAGTTTTTTATATGCAATACTTCTAGGTATTTAGAAAAGTAATCAACTACAATAAGATATTTATCCTTATTGATTTCACAGAAATCTATGCCTACTTTTGACCATGGAATTTTTGGAATCTCATGAGGAGGGACTGGAGCTTGTCTATCAGCATTTGAATATTTAATGCAACTTTCACATTTATTAATTAAGTTTTTCAAATCTGATTTCATGAATGGCCAATATACTACATGTTTAGCTCTTAAGTAACATGATTGAAAATCTTGGTGTCCTTCATGAATGGTGTTCAGGGTTTCCTTTTGGAGTGTTTTAGGAACAACTATCTATTTACCTTGAAGATTAGATCATTATGGACAGTGATTTGATCTCTAATTTGAAAAAATGGTGCTATATTAGAATCCATATTTCGCTTTTGAGGCCAGCCATGAAAGTAATAATCTTTAAGAGTGGACAAGATTTTATCTTTGATAGTTTCCTCCTTAAATTGCTTAAGTTTCTTGTTGGAAAAAGACATAGATAAATTTGAATCAAGAACTGCAATTTGACATTATACATTAGATTGCAATGATTCAGCATCATACATTGTATCAGGTAGAAGTGCTTGACTGAGTGCATCTGCTGTACTCACTTGACCAATATAAAGGATATCTGAATCATTATCATCACTATCACATTCATGCAAAGATGATCGAATGTTATTAACTTTAGCAACGCGCATTTTTTGGAAATGACCAACACGATTACATTGTCGACACTTTACATCTATGGCTGGACACTTAAATCGATGCTTTGAGTTGCCACATTTTGAACATTCACGAGATGGAGATCGATGAGGTGATGAGCTTTTTCTGGATGCGTATAGGCTGCTGCTGCGACGATGAGATGTTCGTTGAGGTGATCGATAAGGATATGGGATGCCATGTTTGCTGCGATGATAACGTCTTGGTGAGTAGCGATTATTGGGAGAATTTCTACGATGATAGTGTGATGGTGAGCGATCACGTGATGATGATGATGATGATCAACGACGATATCGGCTTCTAGAGGGTTGACTCATTGGTTGATGATGTTGTGAGTTGTTGAGAGCATCGACTTGTTTATTGAGGATTTCAGATCGTTCCTTAGCTAGTTGAAGTTTCTGAGCAAGGGCGAAGATTTTATCAAGTGACGACTCTTCAGATTTGATAAGTTCTTCTTTGATGTTCTGATTTTCGACGTTGAGATTACCAATAAACAAATCTTTGGTGATCGAATTTTTTAAGTTGCTGAATTGGCAATTAATGCTAAGATTTTTTAGAGACGTTAAAAAATCTTTAAGCGACTCATTTGGTTTTTGTTTCCTGCTGAAAAGGGTTAGACGTTCAACAGTAACATTGACCTTGGGTGAGAAATGAGCGTCAAATTTGGCTACAAGTTCGGTGTGTTTGACCGAATTGACATCAACATCAAAGGATTTAAAAATGCTTAGCGCTGGCTTACCCATGCATCTAACTAGGAGTGCATTTTTCCCAGGGTCGCCTTCCTGGGTGAGGTTCGCTGAGAGCATGAACAAGTCAAAATCTATTTTCCATGTCTTCCATTGGGTGGAGAGGTCTCCTTCAAAAACCATTGAAGGACATGAGGCAACATCGAAACTGGCTCTGTAGTTACGTTCAGAGGCAGACGTTGAGGCATGATTGGTGTTATCGTCTTGAGACATGTTGACGATTTGATGTTAAATTTTTGAGCTTAGACAATATTGAAGATTAACAGACAATTTTGAGGGGTGGTTAGTGAAGAATACCAATAAAGAACTCACTTTTTTTGAAGGAATAAAGCTTTTCTTCACAAAAGATCAAAAAGGTTTATAAAAGGGTTATAACAGGGATTGTAACGATCAACAAACTTTTTCTCTCAACTTCGACTGCAAAAGTAAGCCAAAAACTATTTATCCACCACCATGGCAACCCCTTCTACCGTGGCCCAGACCGTTCCAGCTGATCAGTCTAAATGGCGGGAACATCCCGGCCCGCCTTGAACCCCGAAGGGATCAAGACGCGTAGGATGATCCGCCCTACTGACGCAGCTGAGACAGCCCGAGCCCCGGAGGCAGGGGTCCCGCACCATCACTAACACCTACGCACAGGGAATCTTGCAAAAATATTTCCTGAATCATCGACATCTAAGGTGTTCCAAAGAGTTTCTTCAAACGCTTACTCTATTAAGCTTCTCCCAATGGCTCTTTGTAGATTCGCATCGTGCCTTTCCGATTGGTTTGTCGTTCGTCCATCAAGCCCCTCCTCCGACTCTTCTGACTCTTGCCTTGGAGAGTAGCTAGAAGGGACTACATTAAACCCTGGCGATCTGGAAGCGAATTGCGTCCTCCGTCCTGGTGGTGGTGGGGAAGAGTCTAATACTCCCAACTGGGAGAGCAGATGCCCCCTGCCCCTCGGCAGTCTTGAAGGCCCAGCAGAGGTTACATTCAAGGATCGCCTGGCCCCCCGGCCTACCGGAGGCTCTGGGTCTTCCGAACAAAATGTCGGATGGACAGTGGACAGCGTAAAAAATTTCATTCAATACACGATCCTTAATTACCGTCGTCAAGGGCACTCGGCAATACGGGCATGCGTCATGTGTCAGCCGTTGTTGGCGACACGAGCAGCAGATGTAATGCCCATTTGAACATTTTACAAATGGTGGCCGCAGTGGATGATCTAGGATGTCGCATTTATTTTCTTCAAATATCTTCGTAAGAGTGGTTCGTAACGGTGGTTTTTTGGAATTCTGTCGCTCAGTCACTGTGAACACAGAAAAAAAGGGGAGGGTTAAGGGAAGGGAACGGGATACACGTAAGGGATAGAGCAACAATCACAACTGTCTGTTTGAAATCTCCTTATCTTTCTCCCTTTGGAGGTGCGAAATAACCGCAACCTGGTTTCCGTAGAACCATTGATCGAATTGCAATGTTGCTTGTAAGAGGAAATTGGAGGAGAGGTCCAAACGGTGAGGGGCAGGATTTTTGGGAGACACATTTTGCTCTATAAGTAAAGGAGGAGAGGACATACTGGTCGATGGAGCGGAGGGAGGAGAAGACACACTGGTCATTGGAACGGAGGGAGGAGAAGACGCACTGGTCATTGGGACGGAGGGAGGTTCATTTCTTCTTTCAGGGGTGGGGATTAGAGACCTCTCGTCATTGCTCATCTTGAAACATCGAGTGAATTTCATTAATTTTACGAGAGGGCAGAAATTTAACTATTGAGAACTTCCCAATGGTAGAGCATACAATTTTACCACCGGTCTTTTGTACACTCCGTTGGGAGTTTTGACTTCTACTACTCTCGTTTTATTATCTTTCCCCGGAAATACACGTAAAACTCGACCTCGAGTCCATTTTAGGGGGGGACTTTGGGGATCATGGAGAAGAACCAATGTTCCCTCCTCCAGATTCCCGGCTTGTTCCAACCATTTTCCTCGTGGTTGGAGTGTGTGAAGGTACTCAATGTGCCAACGTTGCCAAAGTTGTTGGACATACAACTCCACCAAATTCCACCTATGCAGAAATGGTGGATCCTCCGTGTCATATTGCCTTTCTGGTAACGCTACTAATGGACGACCAATTATGAAATGGCCAGGGGTGAGAACCTGACAATCACGTGGGTCAGAGGGGAGTGGAGTGAGAGGACGTGAATTTAGAATAGCCTCAATACGGGATGTCAACGTTTGAAACTCCTCTTGAGTTAACACACTATCACCCATCACCCGTTTCAAGTGTAGTTTAAAACTTTTTACTGCAGCTTCGTACAGACCCCCCAAATGGGGCCCTAATGGTACATTGAATCGATATTCTACTTTATTTTTGTGAGAAAACAATATCAAATTTGAGTCCTCTGACGCAATTAATTTTAAAAATCTGTTTGCCGCTCCCTGGAAATTGCTAGCATTATCACAATAAATATATGCCGGTTTGCCTCGTCTACTGACGAAGCGCTGTAACGCGGCGACAAAAGCATCGGTACTCAGTTTTGAGACCATTTCCAAGTGAATTGCCCTGGTGCTCATGCACACAAAAACACAGACATAGACTGGAGAAATAATTGCGTATCGAAGCTGATGCAATTTTACATTGAAATGGCCACAAAAATCCAATGCCGTTCTGTGGAATGGGGGACTCTGCTGAACCCTTTCAGCTGGTAAATCACCCATTATAGGAGTCTTGCTCCTAGGTTGTACCTTAAAGCAATAGATACACGACTGAAACACTGATCGAGTCAATCCTCTTGAAGCCAATATCCAAAATCTCTGGCGCAACAGAGATTGCAGGAGTTGCGGAGGCGCGTGCATGTTGTCCTTGTGGTATTTTTCAACTAGAAGGCGCACTAAGCGATGCTTTGAAGGTAATATTATCGGATACCGCGCTGATTCTGGGAGACGGGCATGCGTTAATCGACCCTGTGCATGAATTAAGCCATCCACGCCAATGTACGGCGCCAGTCGTTTAAGTGGTTTTGATTTATTTGTTAATTTTTCACCTTGCTTTAGGCGGTCGATGTCCCCCCCCCCCAAAACTCTCCTTCTGAATCAAGAATAGAGTTTTAGTTTCAGCAACTAGAAATTCCTCCACTGTTTTAATAGGTCCTTTTTTAATCCGGCTCGGAGGACCATGAAGAATACCAATAAAGAACTCACTTTTTTTGAAGGAACAAAGCTTTTCTTCACAAAAGATCAAAAAGGTTTATAAAATGGTTATAACAGGGATTGTAACGATCAAAAAACTTTTTCTCTCAACTTCGACTGCAAAAGTAAGCCAAAAACTATTTATCCACCACTATGGCAACCCCTTCTACCGTGGCCCAGACCGTTCCAGTTGGTCAGTCTCAATGGCGGGAACAGCTAGATCTACATTGACTGACCTGACAGGGCGACGATTGAACTGACAGAGAGACTTGGCTTGACTTAGACTTGACGTGATGGACTTAGACTCGACGTAACGGACTTAGACTTGATATGACCATACACTTGACGTGACAGACTTAGATTTGACATGACCATAGACTTGACGTAACGGACTTACTTGACAGACCATAGACTGGACGTGACGGACTTAGACTTGATATGACCATTGACTTGACGTGACGGACTTAGACACATGACCATAGACTTGACGTGACAGACGGACTTGAATCGGACGGTGTTTATGTGCACGAGAAGCGACTTGGCAAGTTTGAGGTTAGACAGACATCGACACGAGACAGACCTTGACTTGGCGTTGGCAGATTGGTTCGACCATGATGACTTGACGAAATTGCACTGGCGATGTACAGAGACCATAATTCAGTTGATACGACAGGACATAGGATTGATTTGACTGACTGACTGAGGACTTGACGGTGACCGAAAATTAGCCTTCGAGCAGGCGACGCGGCGCAAGGGTGCGAGTCACAATTCATCGGTAAAACACTTAAAAAAACATGTGGAAATAATCGGAAACGAAATAAGGCTAAAAAGATCATAAAAACATTATGACAAAGAGCCGTATGCAAAAACGACATTTTTCGCCCCCCCCCCCCACACTAAAACTTATTCAAACTTCGTCTATCAGTCACTAATACTGGAGCGCTTTGCAATGCCTCTAAAACTGCTCTCCGAATGACCTCCGAACGCTCAACTCCAGATCCCTAAAATACCCAATACTCACAAACCTCGGCTGCTAGGCGTGGAGAAGCGGGATGGTAATAATCCAACACTGGTTCTAGGTTTAGATACACTTTAATCCTTCAAGAATAACTTAGCACTTCAACAACACTACGAATAACTCCAACTTAACACTACAACTTAACAACTTCAACTTAAAACACTAAGGCCCGGATCGCGGGTCAGTGACGGCACGACTTCCGTTACTAAAGAGACCTCAGAACTTAAAAGATAGACTTAGACTTGAGATAGAACTCAAGACTTTAAGGGTTAACACCACTTAGGCCCGTGTCGCTAAAGGGAGTTCCAAGACCGGCCGGAAGGAGGGGAGTGCCCGTGGCGACTTTAACCCGTTGACGCGGTGAACGGTACGAGGAGACTGAGGACCGCGCCTTTCGCCTAGATTTTCCGGGCCTCCTCAGTTTGACCACGGCGTCCTTTCCCACGGGAAGATGCATCCCCAAATCTGCTGACCCAAGGAACTTGGGCATGTTTGGCATGTAAGCAGACCCGCGGACGCATCTCCGGTGGATCGGCCGGGTCCCGAACTCTGCCTGGGTGCCAGCTCTGGGGAAGCGCCTTTACGCGCCACCAGGCTTCTGATCTTGATTATACCTAGATTTTGGGTAGTTCTGGCATCTCGGGCAGGGGACTGCTATAATATCTCGTCCACCCGTGTCGCCAATCCGCGTCGTCCCGCGTGACTCCGCTGCGCCGGTGCAGGTGCCTATGACTTATACTACATGCACTACTCTAAATCCGTTCCAGCTTCTTTCCCCAAATTTTCAGACTCCCAAAAAAATTTTTTTTTGGGGGGGGGGCGCTAGGGGGATGGAAGTCAAAACCTGTGAAGCTCGATATCTTTCGAACGAAACAAGATATTGAGGCTCGTTTTGGACGAAAAATCGTCTATAATTACAGACTCTAAGATTCTAAAGGTCAAAATCCCAAAATTACACTTTTAACTTAACTTATGTGCTTTTTTTCAGTTTTTGAGGAAAAACAATTTTTTTTAAACATACTAAACTGAAAGATCACAATTTTGTATTTGAACCAAAACCAGTTTTTTAAATTGCTCATCTTTTTCCGCATCCAACGAGTGGTCATGTAGCTTGGGGAACCGAACGGTTCCGGAGTTATGATCGATTGAAGTTTCCGCTCAACGCGCGCCGACCGATTTTCGCGCGCAAAAAAGTCGGATTTGACTGTTATTAAGTCAGATTGAATGTTCAAACTGAGCAAAATGCATTATTAGGGACTCTTGAGGGTCGCTGAGTTCAGAAATTACAGATTTTACCAAAAAATTCACGTTTTTAAAATTGCAGCTCCGTAGCGCTATTTTAGAGGCCCACTGAGCGGCCGGTCGGCGCTCAGTGGTCCTGTACGGAGCTGCAATTTTTAAAACGTAAATTTTTTGGTAAAATCTGTAATTTCTGAACTCAGCGACCCTCAAGAGTCCCTAATAATGCATTTTGCTTAGTTTGATCATTCGATCTGACTGAATAACAGTCAAATCCGACTTTTTTCCGTTTTAGATTTCCGTTAGTATCACTATTAACAAGAAGAAAATCACTGCAATTAATATATAGAGTATTATTTCGTGATTACTCGCGGGTTGCTCTAAGTTTTGAATATTGGTTTGGATTTGTTTATTTAAATTTTCTTTCTCCTCAGAGCTGTCCGAGAACCATCCCATTTTACCGCACTTTTATTTTCGTTTTTCGGAAGTGTTGGGCCCAAAACCTGTCGTGATTCGCAACGTACGAGATAAAGGCCCTGGAAGGAAAAAACTGAACTACCGATGTGTGCACTTGATGAGATTTATTTTGCGAATAACAGACTGGTATGAGAGACTTACAAACTGAGCTCACTTGTTTCTGAAGCTTGTTTTTGTAAACAATCTATCGATGTATCTTAAATATCTCAAACTGACAGCCACCCTTAATTTATTTCTTATTTTTTATTTTTTTTTTTTTTTATATTTTCCCATTTTGAATGAAACGCAAAAAAAAAGAAATAAATTAGAAAAAAGAAAAGGTAACTAATGACGTGAATAATTTGGTAAGGATGCATAGTGAGCCACCCTTAAACAGCACCTGGCGTAAAGAAAAAAAATATACCCTGTCCCTTACGGGGCCTATTTACCCTGCATCTCTTAACATGAAGAACACTTAAAAACTAATAACATGTTTTTTATTTTTTTTTATTTTTTTTTTTTTTATTTTAAGAAAGGAAAAAAACAATTTGTTTCTCTTGAAAAGAAGACCCGAAAAAAAACTTTAGTATAGAAATTAATTAGACCAATACCATCCAAGGACAAAATAACACGTACATGTAACTTATTAGGTGGCAGTTAGAAACTTTCTCGCACAGAATTCATGTTTGGCTTTACCGACTGGTTTCGTTAGCATGTCAGCCGGCATCAATTCAGTGGGCATACATAGCAACTCAATTTTTTTTTCATCGATTAATTGGCGTATGTAGTGATGCCTAGTATCAATATGTTTCGTTCTACCATGATTGGCTTTGTTTTTTGCCATCTTCTGCGCACCTTGATTGTCATTAAATAAAATTATTCTAATTTGCATAGAGGCCCCAAAAATTTCCTTGTAAAAGAAGTAAATGAACATGGCCTCACGGTAACAATCGGAAATTCCCATATACTCCCCTTTTGCACTCGATAGAGCAGGGCTGCGCTGTTTGCGACTTTCCCAGCTGATCGCACTATTGGCAAATTCAAAAACGTAACCGGTGTATGAACGCCGATCAATACGACACTCAGCCCAATCTGAGTCAACGTATCCTACTAATTTGAAATCTGATGAGGAGTAAACCAGACTATAATCTAAAGTGCCTTAAAGGTATCGGAGCACCCTTTTGGCGTATTGCCAAGCTAAATTGGTCGCACAATTATTGCATTGACTCAAAAAACTGACTGCAAAGGCGATGTCAGGACGTGTCCAAACAACTAAATACATTAGGCTGCCAATTAAATTTTGAAATGGTGCTTGAACAATCTCATTATCATTAGAATTTTCAAAAGTTTTTCTTAAACAGGGTTATTCAAAAGTTACGCACCACTGGCCATAACTTTAGTTCTAATTATGATATCGATTTGCGGTTTGTGGCGTCCTTCCTCATATCGAGGGGGAAACTTTTTGAGGTACTTTTCAGTTCTTCACCCCCCCAGGGGGAGGGGCGGGCGGGGGGCAACTCAAAAATTTCAAATTGCCACCCCCATCATGTGATACACCGTTAGAAAGAGCATAAAAGAAGAAAATTTTTGGCGCAAACCGGAAGTCGATCTGACCCCCCTGTCAAAAGTTAGGGGGGTCCACAGGTTACTTAGGGGGTCTGTACCTTCATTTTCTAGAGTAGCTTCGGCGGCTCTTGGGCATACCGTTTCTCTTTTCAAAGAGTCCTCGAATACTCCAAGTCTGATACCGAAGTCTTCATATTGCCCCCGGGCCACTACAGCTCCCCCCGTAGGGGGGGGGGGGGGAA